GTAGTAGTAGTAGAAGCAGCAGCAGCAGTACTTGTAGTAGTAGTAGTAGCAGTAGCAGCAGCAGCAGTCCTTATAGTAGTAGTAGTAGCAGCAGCAGCAGCAGCAGCAGTACTTATAGTAGTAGTATTAGTAGTAGTAGTAGTAGCGGCAGCAGCTTCAGGCTAATGATGCTGCACTTGGAGGGATTCCTGTCTCTGGGTTTCTCCAGATACTACAGCTCTGACCGCTTGCCACGTGTGCCCAGTTCAGTGCCACCTCTCACTTTCCTATAGAAATGGAAACCCCTCTGCAGGCAGTGTGCGGGTGGGCCTTCTCCCCTGGTGAGCCCGGCCTGAGGCCGTCTGCCTTCTTTGCGTCCCCTGAAGTCCTGGGGCTGCTCCGGTTGCTTGATTTTCTGGAGGCAGGTCTTTGCGGCCAGTGGCCGGTGGCCTGGCTGGCCTTGGGCTCCATCCCAGTGTGTTGGGGTCTGCTCATAACAACCCCGTGAGCTAGAGACTACAACTTATCCCTATTTTACAGATGAGGAAACTGAGGTTTGGGGAGGTTACTTGTCTTGCCGAGGGTCACAGAACTGCAGGTAGCAGCCGTCTCTTGGTTCAGATCTCTTGGTATTTCAAGCTTGGGCCTTGTTACTCTGTGGTGTGACCCTTACACTTATGTGGACCCTTACACTTCTTTTGTCTCCTTAGAAAATATTCACTCTCTAGTGGATAGAGCACCGGCCCTGGATTCAGGAGGACCTGAGTTCAAATCCAGCCTCAGACACATAACACTTACTATCTGTGTGACCCTAGGCAAGTCACTTAACCCCATTGCCTAACAAAAAACAAACAAACAAAAAAATATTCACTCCCCCCCACCATCTTCTGCACCCTTTCTTCTTCAGCATTTACAGATGTCAGTCAGGCTTAGGAACTTTCTTTTTTTCTATTTATTTTTTAAAAAATAAAGTTGTCTTGTCACCAAAATTTTCCAAGGTATCACTCCTCCCGCCCCTTCCAGCATGCCGTTCCCTTGTGACAAAGAACTGTAAAAAGAAGAAAAAAACAACTGAAGAAAACCAAGCACGTGGTGCAAACAGAGCTCAGCGGAAGGGGCCCCTCTTTTCAGCAGACGCCCCATTCTGCCGCCGAGCTCCTTTTGCGGGTCTGGGCTTCTTCCATGTCCACGGTTGTGGTTCCTGTGGGCTCACTGCTCTGCTGGCGCCGCTTTTCCCTTTCTGTTGGATTTACTCTTTC